ATTTTTGCTGTAAGATTTGAAAAACAAGTATAATTAAATAATATACTTACAAGAAATGATTGAAATGAAACTAAATCTATATTAGGAAGTGAGGCTCAATAAATGTTGCAGTTGGACACTAGAGGGACCTAAAGGACCAGGCAGAAAAGAGTTAATACAGCTAAGCTGACTATAACTTTTTCTTATTTTAAATACTTTTTTGAAACATTGACTGGCATAAATAACTAATATCTCAGTAACAATACAGATTTCAGTGGATAAACTTTTAAAAGATGATGAAAAAAACTTTACAAAACGTTTACCTGATATAAATATTATAGAAAATCAAGAACAGGATCTGAGCATGGAATAGCTGTGACAAGAAAACCCAGGATGATGTCTTTTTATGGGATTTTAAAAAAAATAGGCTAATGAAAGATTCCCTTTTAAATGGCAGAGATTGATAAAAGATCAAATCCTGTAATACCATAGGAATGATTTAAAGTTCAGGACTGAGCACAACAAAAATAAGGAATATAACATTGGACTATTTGATCAGGGCTAAACTATTCATCTGAGATTTCTGGTAACTCCTAACAGACTTTTTCCTGAATTAGGATGGAAAAGATAAGATTTCTTGATTGCTAAAACTTAGGCTATGGAGAGAAGTGTTTTTGTATGTGCAACTTTAAAATAGAATGAAAAGTTAGTACATTGGCTCATGTTCTGTGTAATGGAAATTGGAAGCCACTTTTTATTTCTGTCCTGGATGCCTTTTTCCTTTTCTGCTTTTTTTCTTTTCTTTTTCCTATAATCTTCTGGATTCCCTTTCTTTTCTTCTAGTTTACTTTGTGTTAGTTTTTACTATGTTTATTAAAAACTGCACTAAAATTACAAACAAAAGATCTCCTCAAGCTGTAGAAGATTCTGAAGAAGAGGCGTGCATAGGTGGATAACACATACAGAATGGAGAATCAAAATTTGTTTCTCTCCAGCATTCTGCACGTGACATAGAATCAAGGAAAGGAAAGGCATGTTTTGATATATTCCACCTGGGTTTTTGTTGTATTATGGACTCAGGAGAGGAAAAGGTCAGCTTGCAAACCAAATAACAGCTGGCCCATAAATAAAACTCAATTCCTGGCCAGAGATCATATGAGTTATAGTCTAAATCATCTGGAATGCACCATTTTTTCTTAGTTTTATTCCAAAGCAAATATTTTGGGACTAAATTTAGAATTGTATAGTAAATTTGGAAGAAGTAAAGTTGGCAAAAAAAAGTGAATTACAGCTAAACATTTTAGTGTACAGGTGAGGTGGTTATAGTTGTGATTTACAAATGATTGTCAAATACGATGTGGGTCACTGTGATGGCTTAACCTACTGGTATTAATTTATGTCATTTGCATCACTACATAATATGCACAATATGCAAATCATTGCAGAAATATAGTCTATTGCATGGAAAGTTGGGTAAAGCAAGGTCCACTAAATAAAAGCTTCAGTATGGTCAGGTATGTAATTTTGTTTTCAGTAGAGCTGCGCCATGTATCATTCTACCACTTGGATACTTAGAAAAAGAGCTTCATTAGGAAACCATAGGTATAAACGATATAATGGAAAGCAGGGATTGCCGCTGAAAATGGGGCATGCGGAGGCAGCAATAGGTAGTGGCGATCCCCGCAACCTGGAACAGCTGATCATCAGTATTCCGGGAGGCCGATCCAACCGCCCATCAGCTGCTTGTGCTAAATCAGGCTGTTTGCTGCAAGAAGGCAAATTGCTAGGGGCAGAAGCAGATGCAGATTTTTTTTCCCCTTGCTTTCCTCCCCAAAAGCTGTGTCTTATGGTCTGGAGCACCTTATAGTGCAAAACATACGGTAAATTTCATTATCTGGGTCTTCAATATAAGGGGCAGAAATCACTAGATGCAAGTGGTATAGAGGATGTGGAACAATTCAATTAGACATGAATTGGCAAATTAGGATACCAAGCATTCACATGTCATTATATATTTCACCATGCTTTTAAATAACACCCTTCCTTTTTGGCCATTGTTCCACAAGCCTATCATTATAGTGGTAATTATAGTGGGGTTTAAATGAACAATTAGAAAGGGTGCACAGAATTATATAGAAAAGCCACTGTATCCTCTTCTGTTTAATATTATTTGGCTGACCAAAAAGCCATAGCTTTTCATGCATTTTTAAATTAAAAAGAAATATTTTATTATTTTAGATACGAGGATCATTCATTCATCGTTTATAAATTGTCAGAATTAAAAGACTGCTGACATTTTATATCATAAAAACATAATAAAAACCTAACACCCAAATGCTTTCATTCCATATACAAATAGCTTGCCTTAATACAGTAAGCATAGTTGTGACATTTATTCCCGATTCCTTCTAGAACAGCTTTATTTTAAATAAGTTTCCTGAAGTGAGCAATGAGGACTCTAGTCTAATCTGCAGATTAAAACTATCCCATAATATGGGGGCTGCAGCCAAAAACCTATTTGAAAGCCTTGCCCTTCTTCATTTTAACCTTCTTTACAGGCCATTAAGGAAAACTCTCCACTGTTAATAAAAAATCTAAAAGGCGTAAATAAATTCTTAAACTCCTCCGTATTAAACTCAGCATCCCATTGCTCTCTTTTTTCTCAATCATAAAAAACTCTCAGAAATGGTCCATTTCAAGAACCCTTTGAAATTTGCCACAAAAGGTTCAGTTCAAATCTCAGGAGTCTAATAGGTCTTTATACAAAGAAGCAAGGTATTATTGTTCCCCTTTCAATCTCACTTGGAGGTGGTTTAAAATGCCCATTCCATATGAATATTTTGGGATGTTGCAAACACAAGCAAGCATGACCTAATGATGCATATAGTCCCTGGGTTCTGACCATAATGGAGCCCCCTGCCCATCACAGCCATAATTTGTGAGGGCTGTGAAGAAGGTTGGTCACATGACCAACCCAACTTTAGACCTTTTTTGCAATAGTCATTTAGAAAATTCCAGCAGTCATTCAATGAATCCATGGTTGTTAAGGAAATGTCATGGTCATTAAAGTGAACCACTGGCTCTCTATGGGAGCGGTTTTGCTGAAAACCTGAAATAAGTGCCAGTTTTTGGCAAAACTGTCAGAAAGTGCAGTTGTCAATCCTCAAAATGGCAAGCCTCCAGCAGACCGTCTCTGGGTTGCCATTCAGGAGGGGAAGGCTTATAGCAGGGTTGTCAAACTTGATTTCATTGAGAGTTGCATCAGGGTTGTGTTTGACCGTGGGGGGGTGGCGATAGGTGTGGCCAGCATGACGTCAGTTGTGTCGGTTGTGCCTGTGGTGGCATGAGCGGTCTGCCCATGAAAACAGGCTTCTGAGTTCCACTTTTGGCTATGTCGGTCTCCTGCCACCCTCTGCCAGTGAAAACGGAGCTCAGGAGGGCTGTGTGCCGAGCTCCGTTTTCACTGGCAGAAGCACCATGGGCGTGTCCTTTGCTATTTCCAGGGTGGCCCCATGGGCCATATATAAACACCCCACGGGGCGGATCTGGCTCCCGGGCCTTGATTTTAATACCCTGGCTTGCAAGGATAATGAAAAACAGTAGACTCACGGCGTGGGAGGTGGACAATGAAGAAGCAGTCAGCTGACAATCAGCTGGTGAGCAGGCCAGCAGCAGAAGAAAGAACTAGGCCCAACAGAAAGATTCCAGGCCTCTTAGGCCTCTTGAGAAGTACAACAGCCATGTTGGTGGGGCATGCGTGCACAGGGAGCGGCGTTAAATAAGCGGAAGAGCAGCAAGTTATTGCTGCCTTTTGTTTTGGTTGCTATGTACTGATGTTTCCTGTCAGAATTAAAAGCATTTAATCGAATCATTTATTTTTGTTTTTTGATTTTGGAAAATCAGAAAAGTGACAGCAGTCATGTGACTGTAGGATGTTGCAAACAGCCATAAATGTAGATCAACTGCCAAGGTGAAAATTACCTGACCATGGGCAGCGGGGGGGGGGGGGTCATCACAACTATAAACCTGGTCACTAAGTCAGTCACAACTACAGCTTGTTCAATGACATTTTAAGTTTGAATAGCCACTAAACAAGTGGTCACTAAATGAGGACCAACTGCATTTGTTTTTGCAGTGTCCTATCTAATTTGCAGTGTATTCTATCACTACTGAGGTAGGAATTGGATCTATGAATATTTGTTCTATGATTATATCTACCTGTAGCCAAAATTGGAGCCAAAATTAAACAAGGTTTTAAAATACCAAGACTGTGTTAACTGTTAAGTTTTCAAATTAGGTACTGTTGATTAATTGTGCTTTAAAATTAATAATTACTTAATATTATGAAATACAGTGTTTCTGTATTATGCAATGGATTTTGACCTGAAGAAATCAGAGAATATATTTATACTACAAGTAGCCCTTAACTTACAACCATTCATTTAGTGACTATTCCAAGTTGCAACAGTACTGAAAAATATAATTTAAAACATTGCAGCATTCCCGTGGTCACGTGATCAAAATTCAGACGATTGGCAACTGGCTCATATTTATAATGGCTGCAGAGTCTCAGGGTCATGTGATCACCTTTTGCAACCTTTTGACAAACAAAGTCAATGGGAAAGTCACATTCACTTAACGGTTGTGTTACTAACTTGACAAGTGCAGTGGATTCACCGAACAACTCTGGCAAAAAAGCCCATAAAATGGGGCAAAACTCACTTAACAGCTGTCTTGGCTAGCAACAGAAAATTGTGGGATGACTACCTGTTCTTGGGACTTTGAAAATGGGGACAGAAAGAAGTTGCCCCTAAGTTAAATATTCACCCAGGTAATATAGAAAAAGCTAAGACAGAACCTTTCTGTCTTGTTAAAACCAGTCAGATTGGATAAGATTATTGTATTCATTCTGGAATTTCACAGCAATGAATTATTCAAAACCTACCTACTATTACGACTGCATTTTCCCACTCTCCCACACACCCTTTTTTCCCCCCTGCTTAAGTCTTTAGTTTGCTAACCTGATTTTCTTCCTGAACCACCCGATACTGCTCTTTCCAAATTGTGATTTTGGATGCTTCGTCTTTCCTCAGGGCCCTCTCTTTCTTCAGCTCAGGACTCCAGAATGTCTTGATACTGTTCATGGAGGAGCTAAGTTTGCTTTCTTTCACTTCTACATCCTTCCGCAATATATCATTTTCCCGGAGAACTTCCTTTAGTTGTGTCTGCAGGTCCATTATTGTGTTGTCCCTGGCTTGGCGTAGTGAATGAGGCACTGTAGAAGCCATGCTCACAGGAGGAAGGTGATGTTCTCCAAATGCAATAGTATCGCTGGCGACCCCGCTACTGGCAATGTTGGGGCTGCTGCCCATTGCAGTCATTCTAACACCATAAGGCAAACGACCCCCAGATCGGCCAAGGGTCATGGTGCTTTTAGGTGTGTCTGCGCCCACATTTTCGTGTTCACTTAGGTACATAGGGCCTGACGTGGCATAAGCAGCATTTAAGGACTGGATATTTTCCATTGAAAGTGTCTTGCCACTTCCACCTCCAGTACTACCTCCAGAGCTGCCCCCTGTGCTGTTGGTTCGACGATGGCCCAATCGTGGTGAACGTGGCAGCCGTGGTGAACGCCCAGGACTCTGGCTACTTGGCTCAATTTTCCCAACTGACCGAGCACTTCCATACATGATTGAATTTCTGATGTAATTTGATTATGATTTGAGATTCTCTGGATTTTTCTTCCTATGGTTCCGTTTAAGTTCCAAGCATTATATTAGGTCCAAGCATTCATTCCTGAAATCATAGTTTTTGGATGTCAATCATCTGAAACAGAAACGAAAATATCAATATCTCATTTCCCACAATCTATTACATTGCTTATTGTTCAATATGCTTTAAACTTTCCTTATATTACTAAGAGTTCAAATACATGGTGTATTATTTAGGGAAAGCAAATTTAATATTTTTAAATTATTTTGAATCTCCCACAGGATTATTTGTAAAATCTGTATCACATTATACTCATAAGCTTATCTACTTTTCTTCTCTTTGTCTTTACTCCTGTGCACCGTAACATTTAGCAATTAACTCCTTATGCGCACATATATAAACATAAAATAGCCCGGATATGAAGATCATGATAAATTAAAGGCAGCAACATAAATGGAATTATCATGCCTTTAAAAATTGTGGTACAAAGATGCTACTTTTTAAGCATCAGTCATCAGATTTTAATGCTGAAATTTAGAATTTTATTATTAAATTGAAGTAAAAAAATCCATCGACCAGAGATTGCTAGAAATATTTCAGACACCATAGTGTAAAACAGACTCGGAAGTGACATATGGCAGTGATGTTTATAAGACACTAAATAAAAGATTTGTCCCTTTTATAGGATCAAAACATTTAACAGATTAAAAACATAATCTAAACCACGTACATCACCAGAGTCACCGGTTGAGAGGGGTGACTACAGAAATCAAATAAATGAAAAAAATATGGAATCATTGTTAAGGACAAAAAGCAATGGCCTTAGTTCAACCAAAAGCTACCAATCAACTGTTTCAGATTATTCAATATATACTGGTATAAAAATGTAATTAAAGTCAAAGTGTGGAATTTCTAATTGGTGAGAAGTTAAAGAAAGAATGTAGAATGGAATTCAGACAGAAGCAGATCTTGAAATAATATATTTAGGCTGTCAGAAGGGAAAGAAATTACGTGCAGAACATTTTGATTCAAACTGCTTTGAATAGCTCTATTTGAATCAAAATGTTTGCATATCCCTGAGGGACATTTGGAGTACAAGAGAATATGGAAAGGAAAAACAATGGCAATGGTTACAATTACTCATTACAATTTGGTAAATTGACTTTGGCAGGCAAGATATAGAAATATGTTATATTGAAATTGAAAGTGTTGGTGAGAGTCAAATTTTTTTACTACTGGTTCTATGGGCGTGGCAGAGGAAGGATATTGTAAAATTCCAGGCAGAGGTGGTATTTGCCAGTTCTCCGAACTACTCAAAATTTCTGCTATCGGTTCTCCAGAACTGATCAGAACCTGCTGAATACCACCTCTGCTTGAAAGTAACACTTAGTCTTAACACTGTCTTCTGTTACCAAATTCTGAAAAGAACTATCTGTTGCTTCTATCTGTTTGCAGAAAATTAGCATAAGGAAAATGATTTCTGAGTACTGGTCTGCTTCATACAGACGATGAAGGTGTAATAATATCTGTAAATGTCTGCATCTATAGTAGGAATGAAAATCAGAGGATTCCTCAATCGTGTAGAACAGAGCAGATTCTGCACAAGATTACGTGAGTGTAAATGTTACTCTCTCAACTGTCATAACTTCTTCATACAGTAGCCCAAATTAAAACAAATCTGAATCTAAACTGGCAGAGTAAGATAGAATATCAGTAATATAATGTCTAAGACCATTGAAATTACACAGTATTATTAAATGGTCTCAATTCTGAAGTTATAATGAGGATTGTTCTCATTATTCAAATCGTCTGTGTGTCCTCCTTCTTAATTTCAGACAGATCCTGAATTCCTTCCGCTTTGGATAAGCTGCACTATGTCACATCTCTAGATGGAGATACATGCTTGAAGTCAGTGCTGGAAATCAGACCCTGACTAACTCTCGGGAGTTGGGATTTGTTTGCTCCCAGGATCTGCACAAAAGTACTTAATTATACAGTTTGTCAAGGCACATTCAAATTAGAGTTGTCACAGAGGCATTTTTGTTTCTCACTCACTAACTAAAAAAATAAAATTGCAGTGGGTGGAGAAGCCAAGATATAATAGGGTGAGCTAAAAACACATCCATGCACAGCAAGAACCAGATAAAAACACAAGGAGGAGAGCAGGAAAGAGATACAAACTATGTGCAAATTGTCCCTGGAGAAACAGAGAAGGTACAGGTAACACAAGCTGTGTTACCTGTTATCTAAAATCTTATTACAGAACTATTTAGACTGGGGCAATTCAGTGTCATTTATTTTGACATGAAGCAACAACATAAGCAAGTCTGATCTCATCACTGAACAGATACTAAAAATTATGACTTATAAATGCAAACAGCAATTCTATAATGCTCATTTTATTTATTTGCCCTTTATTTTTATTAATGGTATTTTGGAACTGATTTTTGTTAAGAAGTGGGGCTGAAATATCCATTAAAACAGCAAGAAAACATGATATTTTTTTATCAGAGATCTCATAATTCTATCCTGTGATTTAGGTACAAGTTAGGCAAAACAATGAAAAGTATAAACGGGCTTTATACTGCTTCTGATACATATTCAGATTCTGATCATCAACACCTTGTGAAACCATTTTCATTAAACTACTGATACACAGTAGTTGAATATACAATGTACAAAAATAGAAATCCACAAGGCAACAAATAAGAAAAAAAAAACAGGTCAAGATTCAGAAAGGATCACGTGTACTTGGTTAAAATCTTGACATTGGTTGTCAAGTCAACTAATTATTTTTCTTCATCTAGCTCACAGGTGTCAAACTCACTGTGTCATGTTGCAGTCATTGGATGTTTCCTGATGTTATTCCCATTCACGGAGCTAGAATGGACGTGGCCTGCACATGACACATCTGGCATGCATGCTGCCAGTTTGACACCGATCTAGCTTATGAAGTGGCAGCACCAGAATTACACTACATTAAACTGACCCTCCATTACTATATTGACTTCTCCAGTTTTCTGTATGGATTTCTCAAGATCGCTTATTCTACCATTGATTAAAAGAAGTTACTCATAATTATACAATCATACCAGTTGCTACTATATTAAAAAAGCAAGTCTGCATGAAAATTTTCCCTCTGAATCTCTCTTTAGAAGAAAACTAAGCTGTTATCAGAAGCAGATTTTTAAAAAGAACCATTATGATTATAGAATATTCAACTGGTATAAAATCCTGATTATGCAGCAAAAGATACACTCCTAGCAGAGCCACTGATACTATCAGTAATGTGGTATAATGAGAACCAAAACCTATCCACATTCCATTAAGTAATTTCAGATAGATTTTCACAAGCAGTGAAAAGACAGCTATCTTCTTTTCCACACTTACAGATAGTCCTTGACTTATGACCACAACTGAGTCTAAAATTTCCATTGCTAAGTGAGACATTGAGTGAATTTTGCCCCGTTTTACAACTTTCTTGACAAATGAATCTGGCTTCCCCATTGGTTTTGCACTACAAACAAAATATGATCAAAGTATCCATCATAGTAAGTTACTGAATATTCTCCTGATGCTTAACAGAATTCTAGATAGGCTCCTTAACTTTGTTTAATCCTATTTCTGCTATACAGACTCAGAACTTTCAAAATAATTGAAAGTTATATGTGGCTATTCCACCATTAAGCAGACATTGTCAAACACGGATACAGG